AGGACCCCCCCTTCTCCCCCCGATAATCCCTCAAAAACCTCTCCGAAATCTTTTGACCATTATAACTCTTTTAATGATGTATGATACCATCGTCTGGTGTAAATTTTATTCGTTGAACACAGGTGAAGCAGGAACAAAAACAAATAAACGAAGAACTTGAAAAATATCAATATTTATATTTATTATACAAAATGCCATGGTGGAGTCTATCTTATGCACAGGAAGAACGATGTTACGATAAAAAAGAGACAATTCCTTCCAGCACAGGAAAAAAAATATAAAATACTAACTCTAGTAGATAGAAGGCAACTCGAGAAGCACGCTATGTACTGAGGCCGTCCCGAACCCCACGGAAAACGACTCACCACCCACATCAAAAAACCGCCCGTGTGCCTCCAAGGCCCCCATCCCAACGAATCGCCGATGGATTTCTTCTATCTACTTGAATCTGCTTGGCGAAAAAAACAAATTCTAGTAGATAGAAGGTACCGTCCTCACGAATACCATCTAAGATGAGAGTCCAACCACAACTCGCAACTCGCCTCACACTTTACAGTTTTAGAAGTACCTTGTTGTAGTTGTACTTCGTGTATTTCTAAGAACATAATAAATTATAGTCACGTCTACCTTCTAGACCAGGAGTTTCCTCGTTGCGCAGCCTTATTCGGTTTTTTTGTTTTGGCTACCTGACAATGGGGCTGCTGGCGAATGGCCTGTCTAGCCATCCAAGCTGCCGGATTGGGGACCCGAGGCAGGGAGCGCCCCCGACAGCAGTCCCGAGGCGAAGACCCTGCGAACACCTCTGGAGGGGCCCCAGCCTTTTGGAGACCCTCAGCCGAGGCACTCCGAAAGCGTCCACTTTTGGGAAAAAAAGATGTCGACAAAAATGGGGTGCAAAATAAAGAGCCTTGTAGTTGTACTTCTACTTCGTGTATTTCTAAGAACATAATTATAGTCACGTCTACCTTCATCGTGTTGCTGTAGAAGATCCCCACATCAGAAATAGAAATGATGGTCACAAAAAGAGCACTGCTCTGAAGCGTGTCCGTTCTCCCACCACACTCAGTCTTAGAGTGAGGCCGGCGAGGCGGAAATCCATCATCCTATCATCAATAGAGGGTGACGTCGACCTCTTCACCTGAAGTACGTAGATAAAAAATGCGTGGTTTGAGTATGGTGCCTACTTTCTTCAACGACCACGTCAACAATAATCTTCTAGTTGAGAGAGACGGTGTCGGTGAAGTAGACGAACCACACTAGGTTATTTTTAACATGTAAAGTAGTAAGAAAGAAGAATCGATGGACGAAATATCATCTTAAGGACGACGAGAAGACAAACAACAACAAGGAGGGACCAGTGCTAAGATTAAATGTGCTTACTACCTGCCTACGTCCTTCTCAAAGGACATCGTCGATTGGCTCATATTACGAAATGAAATAGCACTTGTATCGAAAGAGGGCTGCACAAGACTGAAATTCACACGGAGGTTGAAAATGTCTTACGTGTATGAAACACAAACAGCCCTACAAAAAAGGTATTATTTATTATACCAACTAAGCATGTTGTAGTTAGTTATTTTACAGTGTTGGGGATTCATCTTCTCACAACATTCCTTATTTAAAAACAGATGTAAGTCTAAGTAGTATGTACGTAGCACGTTGCAGCTCACCAACATTCCCGCTCAATAGAGCCCACAGCATTTTTGGGCTCTCCTTACATCAGTAGTGCTCATCGGGTTGGCATATACCCATTTCTTCGCCCTTTCCCGCACAACAACAGCAACAGCGCCACCACTTGTGTTAGTACTCAAGCACAACTGAGAGTGGTATACTTTCGACCTCAACTATTTTTGAGAAACACATAAGGCAAAGGGAGGCGAAGAGGAAGACATCTAGTGTATCACCCCGTATGTACTAAGCACCCATCAGCCAGCATCCTGCTTCCCGGCGTCGTACTAGATTTAAGGTTTTTATAAATATTTAGATCGAGCTTAATATCGCTCAGCGACATTGACATAGATATCTTCTACCCTTGCCTTCTCCTTCTGATGATCATGTTCTACTTCTAGTAGACGCAGACCCGCCTTCTGTGATGTGATGAGTGAGAACAAGACGAGGACATGAAAGATTTTTACAGAGGAACATCATATAGCATGAAATGAGTGACTATCAAGAAACCCGACACAAGAGTATTAAATGTAAAGAGGTTGTTAGAGGTTGGTCGTAAACAGGGTCAAATATTTGCAGAAAATCTAAAAGTGACACTACGCGGAGGCATGAACGCGCGACCACGGGCAAGCCACAACCTGGGACGAAGTTGCAGAGTTACTCCGCGTCTGATTTAGAGTGAATTTCGAATCTGCTTTTCTTTGGTGCACTAAACATGATAGATAATCAAAATCATATGTCAACACACAAAAAAATGAATTGGGTACAAGTAATGGCAAGCACTTCATTTTCTATTGTGTAACAAGTTTAAGTTTTGCTTTCATCGATTCTCAGCAATACAAAAAATGCCTAGCTACAACATCGTTTTTGCACCACAAGAACAATCACGCGAGTCTAAATATGTTTTATATCTTTCACCTCGAGAACTTGAGGTATCTTATTTATATTAGACTCACACAAAGCGCAGCACACCCGAATACGTATTGCCAGACGTTGCACAGCGAACTACTCGAGTTCCACTTCGACTGACAGCATATTTTCATCCACCACAAATCATGCTTCAACACTAGCAAAACGAGAGCTCCATCTTACCGAAAAAGGAAAGCCATGTCTTGCTGCAGCGGCGTTGCACGAGGTAAGCGGAAAAGTCGACCGCCACTACCTGATGAGTATATAATAATGTAGCAATATGCTATAAGTACTACTAGTACTTTCTTCAACCGAGATACTGCTCTCTGAAGATGTTACTTATCCTTTTCTCAGCACCCCCACAAGAGCCTAAGCAAAGGAGTAGCATGCTACTCGGGCAACGTTTTACTTTGTACACGTACCCGCCACAAAACGACTAACATAAGGTAGAGACAGCACATCACACAAGTCGAGTAACTAAATAATCTTGTAAAAACAGTACCCCCTGAAGCCGATCTCCCGTCAATGCCTTGCTGGAATAAGGCTCTTTGAACTCCAGTGCCCCTGTTAACAAGCGGAATTTGGTTGGGGCTTTGAAGACCTCCTCCACATGGTGTGCCATTTTCTGGAGGACCACGATTGATCATGTTTCTGGACGAGGAGGCTCCATGATTCGCATTCTGATGATTAGTCGCATGGCGATTCGGATGATTAATACGAGCAGCTGTTCCCTGCAGAACAAGTGTGTTGTTTAGTATGATCACTTAGTCGAAGATGTTACGCACAGAAGTTATTTTAGTTTTCTCTTGATCATGATTATGTCGTCCGAGGACGAGGAGATGCACTACATCTAAGTACTAGTACTCATACCAATTAGGGTAGGTTATACGCTTACCATCTCATCTGGTACCTGTTGTATCTCTCTAGTTCGATTGACGAGTGGTGGAACAGCATCGTTAAAGCGATTCTGACTTCGCGGTGCCGGTCTTCGAGGCTCGCCTTGAACCACCGTCACTGCTGCAGGCCCTCGCGCCCACTGGAAAACTCTGCTCTGGGTCTGGTGGTGATGGTCATGGAGAGGTTAGAGGAGCAATGATGGCACAATGCAATAAATCGCGCACAAGAGTTGGAGGCCAAAATCAAAATTCAAAATCAAATATGAATCGCTAAAAAGAGGTGTGAAACTTTTGTCACATGATTGTCGTAAGAACTCGACGAATCCCCTCGTCCAAAATTTCGTGTAGCATGGTCGTGATCGCCTCCCCGTCCCCTTACAAACCCCTTATAATTCGTTTGTCCCCCGCCACCATTGTGAAAACTGTTGTTTCTATTGTACATCATTCTGCTAGAAGATTGGTTCATCTGCGACTGCTGTAGTTTTGTTCCAGCATTACTACTTGAAATTGGACCAGTCTGTGTCATATCATGAGGTGGAGGTGGCACGCATGCTCTACGATCCCCAGGACCGCCTCTATTAGTATAGGTCAGATGAGCCTGCATCTTGTGGCGACTGTGATTGCCAGAACCATTGTTAGCATTAAAGCGGTGATGAAAGTCGCGAGGTTGTTGGATGTTGTTCGTGATGTGGTTCCTTGAATTATGCGCGTAGTAGTTTCCAACATTGATGGTATTCGTTGTAGTTGTCGAGTTCACCAACCTGGAAGTGCCTCCTCCTCTAGGACCTGGATTTTGAAGATTAGAACGCGGCTTGTTCTTCTGCAGATTTTGCTGAGGGCTCTTGTTAATGCTCGCGTTCAGCTGTTCTACTTGTGGGACGACGAGTGAACCTCCTCCCTGATTGTATTAGAGGTAGGGTTTTGGTGCTTGTGTGTGTCGTGTTTCTTATGCCCGTCTCCCTTGGGAGAGACATAAGAAACGGTAACAAGAACACCTTTAACGCTAACCTACGCTTAATCATAGCTGTTCTTTTTCGTCGTTATTGCATCGGAAAGACAGAGTGCTGAGCGGTTGTTCTCCACAGCAGCTTCGATCAGAAACGAATTCCCTGATGCTTTATTGTGGTCATCGTCGTCGGTATGAAAGTTACGTATGATCATGGAAGATCATAAGCAGGAGGACCTCCACGACTGCGATTACGATATATAATCCCAGACGTAGACCTAAGAGTCTTAGACCTCCTAGACCTAGTTGTAACTGCTCATACTTTAAAGTTCACACTCCATAATAAAACACAACATCACAACTCCATAATAAAATCAACTGAAGTCAAAACTCATAACCTTGTGGACTATCCGAGGCGTCCTTTCCGAAGAGGGATTCCGAGAGACTGAGAGTGTGTGGCTTTCTCTCTCGACGGACGCTGCGTCTTCGTACACCATTTGTCACCGTCACTTGAATATCTTGCTGCATAGTGTATGTGTAAGAGCGTGGCTTTGGCCGTCGACCGCGCCATCGGTTGTTATGCGGAGCACCTGGTTTGCGTTTGGAGGTGGATGAGGAGAAGTATCCAAATGTACTGTTCTTGATTACATTGATTTGGAGGACAATGAGGACAGGCTGTGAGAATTGCTGTACTAGCCTCACGAGCTGCGAGTGCGACGACAAGTAGTAACTACAACATGAGCAAGGAAGTACCAACTCGTCTGACTCATCTACCTACGACATCCTAAAAAAGATATTGTAATTGCTTACCAAGAACAAGTAACAACTGAGTGTAGGGTTCAGGGCTGTACCTGCGCCACCGTTAAAACGTCTTCCAGAACGTTGCGGAGTGACGAAAAAGTCGTACGATTTCGCTAGGAGATAACCCTTCTTCTCTGGTACTTCTCTCTCTAGAGGTACCGACAACCCATAGCTTGTAGGAAACATCTTTCAGCTTCTCGCTGTTCAAAGAACAAGGAAGTGGAAACTGAAAGATGGCATAAGAGATGGCTTGACGGTACCCATAATGTCTGCAATCGCCACCCACGGAAATCGAATTCCTCACTCCCAGTTGCACACTCTTCGAAGACCTAGTACGTAAGGAACAACACACTCAGTTTTTATCAAAGTCGTCAAAGATTCAAATTTGAATTCAGAAATACCGTGCCGCCTTCAACATCGATCTTCTTTGAAACAACATCATTGTTGAACATCAGAAAAATTTAACTACTTGAGATCATGATGATGTAAATACATTCGGAAATCTGCCTGAGATTTCCATGACGACTAGAGATCATATTCTACCGCGCCGCCTTCACTGTCTTTGACAAAGGTCCCTCGCATTTTTACGTCCAAAGTGCCTTCGTGTAGTTTGCCTTCATGTTCCATTACCCCCATCGCATCAGTCAGGGACGACGCCGTCTCTGGGAGGACGCGGAGGAATACCGTGAATGTTTCCACTCGTTGAGAATGTCGATAGGGGAATGTCGTTTTCCCTTTGCGATCCTACTTAGGAACGACATTCCCATAACTTAGGTTATCAATGAGTGGCATCATACATACCGAAACTTTTTGGCGCTGTTCGCAAGAAGAAGAGCATGCTTTACTATAGATTGCCAAAACTTTTTCACGTGCTGCAGCAGAGGAGCAACTCAGTATTACGAGAGAGGAAACCTTTGTTTTTATTGGACGAGGAAACGATTTCACATAATTGTGGGTAAGTATTATTATTTCTATGTCACATAATGTGGTCACCAACACCACTAAACCCTAAACCCTTCCACGACTGCTTCAATCAACATCATTATAATGGTACTATAACTGCGAGTTTTGACTGTGTTCAACATGAAGGATAATTTTTACCTGAACATCATGTGGCGTGCGAAGCGAGATTTTCTCGGATATCTCACTGAAAGGCTTAAGTAGCTGCTCGGCTATCTCCTCTACGTTTACGCCACCCCCACGAAAACGGAGTTCCACGTCAAAACTCTCGCCTGGATTTTAGGTGTACGAAGGAGTCGATCACCGATGGTTCAAGAAGATTTTTTGAACAAAACGAATAAGTTCAAGGATCAGAATAGATTTAAGTGATCAGAATAGATTTACTTAAGATCATTAAGGATAAGCAAGGAAGATGAATTGTTCCACCTCAGTTGTTCGTTGTCTAGTGCTTAATAGATGTAGACTTAGACCTACGCCTTACGGCATCCATAGACTTAGAGTTAGACGGTAGTTGTCCTTGTCTAGTGATTTAGATGTACAACACTACGAATAGTTGATATTGTAAGTACTAGACTTCCGTCTTCTTTGCTCCTTCTTCTCTGAGGTTGCAGATCCGGAGGCTTTGGTCGGTGGCTCGTTGTTCAGACTAAGCTCCTCCTCTCCTTCTGGATGCGCGAACATAAATGACCCATCCTCTTGGTCCAGGACTGGTTCTTGTTCATGTACATTTGTACTTGTTGTGGTCGCGCGCTCAGATTCTTTTTGGTGTACACTTCGTACTTTTGTGTCTGGTGGAACACTAGCACTTTTGGTCGTAGTCGGAATTCGAGTATCGCAGCTATTGTAGTTTGATGTATTTTCTTCATCGACACGATTGATGCTCGTACTATCTGCTTGTTGAGGTGCGGTCTGGAGTTCATCTTTATCTTGTGCATGTGTGCTGTTCTCCTGCTCCAAAGAACTTCTATTCTTCTGTGGTTCAACAGCAGCAACATTTTTAATATCATCTTCACCTTTGGCACCAGCAGGGTCAGCTATCTTACTCCGGCTAGAAGCGCAATTAGCATTTTCTGGTTCTGTTGGGGTTGTACCAGGACTCACGTTGTCCCTAGGCAGTGAATCGTGTTCTTCCATAAAGTGTTCTGCACCACGATCGCCAGTACCACTAGGCAGTTTGTCAGGAACTGAGTCCACCCTTGGTATAAGAATAGGCGAAGCCAGTTCTTCTTCGGCCCGCGGCACGAGGTCCGCCTGCTGCTGCTCGACTTCCTCTGGTCTGCTTTCTTTGCCCTCAGACTTAGAGCTGACTCCCCGAGTAACATCCATCGGCAGAGCAAGATTTTTAGGCAGGAGAGACGAGATGATGCGCATGCGACTTGGACTTTTCATAAACAGAAAAAAATACATTTCTCTTGATCGATTCCGAGTGCTTTCAACAGGTGTTTTCATAAGGACAGAAGATTTGGACGCAGAGAGCTCCCGCTGGTCGTTCTCTACCGCACTTCCCTCATCCTTGCCCTCCGAAGTCGCCGCTAGCGCCAGTTCTTTCTCCCCACTGCGAAAACGGTCCTGTCTCTCCTGTATAATGAAAAGGCACGTGGGTATAGAAGCTGAACTTCAACAAGAAGACAAAATGGTCTAGAACTATTAAACCTAATGTATCACAACTATACTTGGTATAGTCAGCCAGTCAGTGCTCATAACTTATCAATTTTCATCTGCTCATTTTTCATCTTCATGATCAGGCGACTATATCAATGAAGAAGAAGACCTTGATGTCATGTCATGGCACTTACCTCGTGCTACGTCTTGACTAACGTTAATGAGGCCGCTCAGCCACCCTGTATCTTCTAAATAGAAGAGCAAGATGACCGAATGATAGACATGGGTTGTAACATTTATTTCCTCCTCCGGACCGGCACCAGCGTCTTCATGCTGTTTTTCCTTTTCATCCAGAGGTCTTTGAAATCGTACTTCGACAACCTCTCTGACTTTTTCTTTCCCCTCATCTATCGGCGACGACTGTGGTGACGCTTGCTGCGGGGATCCCGTTGGGGAGGCTTCAACGGGTAGTCGCTTCCTAGATAGCGGACTTCCCTCACGCAAACCCCGGTGTTTCTGTATTTAATGAGAAAGATAGAATAGGATATTATATATAGGATAGGATAGGCTGCCGCTGCCGAATCTTACACTGGACGTGTCGAAACGAGCGCGGACATTTTTGACATACATAGTTTATAAGTTTCAGTTTTAGTTTGTTTTGTTGTTGATATCATAAGCAAAATAGATGGATTGATCAAGTTGCACTGTGTTGTTTTTGTTTTTGGTGACGAACACAAAAAGTTTACATGGCAGAGTACCGATGTCGCAGGTTTGTTTTCCGGTATCCCAGAAAAAACATCGCCACGTGAGCCGGTGTTCGACGTCGCCATGTGAGCCGGTTAGCTTTAGAACTAGAAGAATCAGACCTTAAAAAGGCTTAAAAAAATGATGTCAGGGTCCGGCTTGCTATAAAAGCGTATGAGTTGTACGCTTGCTATCAAAGTGTATGAGTTGTACGCTTGCTATCAAAATGTATATTATGTATAAAGATATTTATAAGTACTACTCGTACTCATGAGCATTACAAAGGAGGAGGCAACAGCGATGGTATAATCTTCATAAGACGTGTGCTGAGTCGTCTGGGTCCACGTTTTATTGACGATTGGCGTCTTCAAAAGGGCTTCCTCGGAAACCAACGCAGCAGCTTCAACCGCAGTCCTATCTTCTTCGTATGAAAGTTACACTACGAATCGTAACAACTACAGAGCAGGTTCCTCCAGTATCAACATTGAAACTGCAATTTTTGAATTAATTTTCACCTTCAAGAAGGAACATACGACCTCAAGAAAAATTTATGCCAATCACCATACATCCTCTATTTCCTCTTTCTTTCTAGGACTAGGTCCACTTCTGGTCTCCCCTACCGAAGGAGAGTGCTCTCGTTCTTGATGTTCCGGGACTCTGACCTCAGCTTCTTTCTTGGTCGTCAGGGCCTCTTCATGACTGCCGTTTTTCTTGTTGACTACAACCGCTGCTTGTCTTGTAGTCTTGCTAGAACTAGAAGATGGCGAATCTAAGATTCGGCGCTCTCGCTCATCTACCTCCGGCTCACCACCCAAAAAATCACTTGCGATCTGCATATCTTCAGGTTGCGTCACCATTTTAGCCGCCTCGCCGTCCGTAGTTCCACACCGACCCACACTAGTACAGTTGATAGAAGGATACTGAGTGAAGTAGTTGTAGTTGCTTCGTTTTTTTTAGAAGTTGGAGTCTTTTGTTCTTAGCAACGGTACGCTAGAGAAATGAAGTTCTAGTACTGAAGGAATTGCTTTTTCGTAGCACAAGGATGGAATAGTTCCCTTGATCTCTACCTCAAGACTTTCATTCATCAAGACAGATATTCTTCATGACCTTAACTCGCAAGAAGAAAGACGCCTGTTAGGTACAGGCGGGACAGTCAGACACCCACGGCGCGACCCCTCTTTACTCACTGTCTCGTCCTTCAAGGATGGAAGGGAAATTCGTCGCACTGCAAAAGGATGGTGGAGCGAAAGTTAGTGGCACCACGACAGCAAATAATTGCTTCGGAAGGTCTGCGCACCTATCGGACGACTCCACACCTATAATCGCATCGGATGGCCATCACTCGAAACGAAGACGACACTCATGTGGTATGTATGCGTATGGGTAGTTGCTAGTGGTGATCAATCTTAAAAACTTTCAACTAATGTAACAATATAAATGTTGATTAACGTTGTCTGGCTCTTTTTATACTTATAATTCTATTAATATAATAGTGAGTCAACACAGTCATCTATGGTAATGCCGTATTACTTTTACGTATTTTTTTTTCAGTCGTTGAAATTAGTACATTGTCTTTAAGGTCTTGTAAGTTCTACTCGTCGGCTATCCATTTTTCTCAAGTCTCGACTACGAACTGCAACGACAGAAGCGGCACAGTAAGAGGAGATTATAAAAAGAGAGGATCAAAGAGACATCGATGTAAACGTTTTCATGATCAAAAGAGACGATCGAAGAGCCATCGGTAAAGACGAAGGAGCTGAAGGTTAGGTCAGGTGTTGATTCGCCGTCGTCCACAGGGTTTTTATCGTGCTTGCCTGTTTTTGTTATTGCTCTTCCGCCAGCATCCTTATTATAGCATTAGCGTTACTAGCCACATTACTATCATATGTGGAGGGCCCTCATGCTAGGCATCTCCGGGTAGGTACTACTCGCGAGCTAGCAGAAATGCCACCGATGGGTCGGGCTCCCGAGCACTACGGCCGATCAGTGTCCAGACTGCTGCTGCCCTGTAGACTTTCTGCTTCATGACACCGCCGAGGAGCTCACAACGATAAGCGGCGTCCCAGTTTGGCCAGTGCGGAAATCTATTTGAGTGTGAGTCTTTTTCTTTGAACCGGGAGGGCCGGGTTTGTTTCTATGCCGAGGCTTTCGTCCCTCGCTCAGGAGTGTAATCCTGGGGCTACGTGCAACCCATGACCCTCATGATGCAGCACTCGAACCCTTAGGCGCAACGCATGGTAGCGCGCGGGCGCATGGTTGGTAGCGCATGGGCGCATGGTAACGCGTGGGCGCATGGAAGCGTAAGGGCGCATGGAGGCGCGTGGGCTGATGGAAGCGCGTGGGCTGATGGAAGCGCGTGGGCTGATGGAAGCGCGTGGGCTGGTGGAAGCGCGTGGGCGCATGGTAGCGCGCAGGCGCAAGCATGGTAGCGCGTAGGTACATGGTGGCGCGTGGGCGCATGGTAGCGCGTGGGCGCATGGTAGCGCGGGGGCGCATGGTAACGCCTGGGCGCATGGTAGCGCGTGGACGCCTGGTAGCGCGCGGGCGCCTGGTAGCGCGTGGGCGCATGGTGGCGCGTGTATTGCGCTCGCCAGTGCATTGGCGGAAGAGGCACAGCCCGCGGCCAGTGTATTGGCAAGCGGCGCAGGGGGGCAAGGCTGGCCATGCTTGTCGATGGCCGTCTGCACTCCTGTGGGCCAAGTGTACGGCCGGAGGCTATTTTATGTCCAGCTATCCTATACTAGACTGCGCTCCGTTTCCAGTCAGTGGCGCTGCTTTTATGCGCGGACACATGGTAGCGCGTGGGCGCACGGTATTGCGCGCGTGCGTGGAATCGCGTGGGCGCATGGTAGTGCGCAAGCTCGATGGCGAATAGTGTTGCGCAGCCGTGTGGGCCTATGGGCCAAGTGTACGGCCGGAGTCGCATTTTTTGTCGATGAGTTGGCGCGTCTATGTGTTTATGTATCTGACCGAGCCAATGTCCGCCAGTTCCTCCACAGGGCCTCATGTACGACCGAAGTGATAGCATTAGCCATCCATAAACATAGGGCAGCGGCAGGCGCAGGTCGTACATGGTGGTGGATATATATAAAATATTATGAACAAGACACGCTGACTTTTGCAAGGAAATAATCGATGCAACAAGAACAAACGCAGACGTATTTACTCAGTGATAAAGGCTTAGTCGAAAGTAGAAATGACTACTTCTATCCTCTAATTTAAATCTAAATCATGGTTTCTCGAAGATCTACATAAATAACGTTCCAAACAGGCGAGCAGTAGCATGCGGCACAACTATTAGAAGACTCTCTATGTTGTTCTCCCTCGTTAGCTTGGGTATAGGTAACAGGACATGCGGACAACGCTTCTCCACAGCCTTGATGTAGCTGAATTCATATCTCTCAAATCAATACTCAAAACAAAGCTTCTTGCCTGTTGTTTTTTTTTTCTACAATTAGTGATTTTTTATAATTGGAAGCAAAAATCCTGTCTTCAATTGTTTTCGGATGAGAATCATGATCAGAGTCCTGAGGTCTTTGACTGTGCTGAAGATGAGTACTTATCCTGAGTTCTTTGACTGTGACGAAATGTTGACTCGTCTAAGTTGAATTCCAGTTCCTAGATTCCCTTGGTCTGCTCACTAGTCGCTCTTGTTGTTGTTGTTCTCGAGCAAAACTAGGAAAGTGCTCCACAAGGAAACGTGGACGTGCCACTGACACTGGGAGCGTTTGAAGATGTTCATTCATTCATTTACCTAGCACGAGGTAGTGTCTCAAAAACTTAATTAGGATGCAAAGGAATGGCTTTTCGTTCTAAAGTGTCACAAAGAAGCGAGATGTGACTACAACCAAGACTTCTTCTAGTACTTGTTGAGCACTCCCGTGTTACGATGACACACTAGTGATACTTGTTCATTTCAAGCTCCAGCACACGTCTTTTAACAAATCTGAACAATCTACGTGGCGTTTCTCCCGGACATGATAGGCACCCAGTTGTACGTTAAGAACTCCCACTCAATATCGGGCATTGGCATTCCCGTCAATAGAAAGAACACACGTCATCGGGATCGGTGGGAAGATGGGCACCCACATGAATAAGGATTTTTGAAGCGTTTTCTAGTCGTGTTAAGGTCCTAAAAAAAAGCACAAAAATCCACAGCAACAATCTAGAAAGAGGACGAGCATCCAGCAAAAAAGGAGGCCAAGAGGGACACAAAAACGAGGGAAGGTCAGGCAGATCCCACCGAGAACCGAAGCCATTGAATCGAGAACCGGGCTCATCCATGGAGAGCTCTCAAAGAGTACAGCCCTATACTTCTGCGCTCTGAATCGAGAACCGAGTCCATCCGTGGAGAGCTCTCATAGAGTACAGCCCTAAACTTCTGCGCTCTGAATCGAGAACCGAGTCCATCCGTGGAGAGCTCTCATAGAGTGCAGCCCTCTACTTCTGCGCTCTGAATCGAGAACCGAGTCCATCCATGGAGAGCTCTCATAGAGTACAGCCCT